TAATATTAGTTCGCAAAACTAATTGTTAGATGGCGCTGCTTGTTGCACTATGGCGCCATCAATTCACGACACGGCCATTCCTGACTAGCATCCGTCCTCGGTTGCAGTGCCTGGAAACAAAATATGCTCAGTGATTAATCTAGCTCGGCTATTCTGCCAATGGAAGCAAGGTCGATTCCAAATGGTACTTTACTTCTCCTAAGTCTAAGTACAATAGTCAACTGTCATAATTGACAATGCCTTGTATTAAGGCTTCTTAAACAGTGCTTCCTGCACAACATGATTTATCGTGGAAGGCCCGATCAACAAGTTCCAAAACAGTAATTTTAACAACTTTTTACTCTTTACAATTCATAAGCAATGCATATTCAACTCTTGAAACTTTCATTGAAATCTGTGCACCAACACAGACCAGAATCGCACCAACGATTCTTTACATATCCACCGTCACATATGCTAGAATCGCACCAACGATTCTCCACATATCTGCCGTCACATATGCTACAATACAGGAGGGGCTCTGTGCACCAACACAGGCCAGAATCGCACCAACGATTCTTTACATATCTGCCGTTACATATGCCAGAATCGCACCAACGATTCTCCACATATCCACTGCCAAATATGCTACAACACATCTGCCGCCACATATGCCAGAATCGCACCAACGATTCCCTACATATCTGCCGCCAAATATGCACCAACACAGACAGAAATCGCACCAATGATTTCCTACAGACCCTTCGCCACATGTTACTCATGAGGTGCGGTCTAAAGTTTTGAGTATGAGTATACAAGCATTCTTAATCAAATTTGGTCTCACTACCACTCATCAACTATGACATCTAACTCTCGAGGAACTTGGTGATCGGGGATCTTCCTCATATGATCATGGGCGTATTTGTGGGGTACTTTGCACACTAACATGACCGCTTCCGGTTGAATTTACGATAGTATTTAAACTTTTGCCTCAGCACCATCTTTGATGAGAGGGTAATTCGGCCCAGAATCATAATAAAATGGGTACGACTCACCAGTATTCATTAGCATACCGCTGGGATTGCTCACATAGCAAACGTCAACACGTCGCTCACTGCTTGCCTCTGTGGCAGGCATAAGGCAAGCGCACGTGGCTATTAAAACAAACCAACACACGCCATAGTTAGCTGCCATGAAGCAAGCTCACATGGTCAAAACAACAGCACAGGGCGTGCCGCACTCGCATAGCGAGCCATCGCATCTCACCAGCGCCAGCGAGACGCTGCACCATACCACGCACTCGAAGCGTTAACGGGAGCAGCAGGAGCACCTGAGGGTTCACAGACATCTTCGGGGTTGCCGTCATCGGGATCTGCGTTAAAAACAAGTTGTTAGTTACCAGGACAACATACACAGTTGCCTATCCTCTTATCCATCACGCATACGAGGCCCTCAAACAGAAATACGCTCTCATACCGTGGACTATAATAAAACACTTCGCTTTCACAAGTAAGCATACATCTCCATACGAAGTATCTCACACATACTCTTGAACTTGCGTGATCCCATGTTAACCACGTGAACCACGTTAAAAACGTGGACCAGGACAGCGCCTGCCAGGACAGAGCCTGATACATGTTTAGAAAATACTACTGCGCACACAGAGTATACGACTTCCGCGCACACAGAGTACGACTTCTGCGCATACAGAGTACACGACTTCAGAGGCATCGTCATGTATAGCATACGCGCGCTCCGGGAAATCACCCGTCACGGGTACAGCATATGCGTGTGCCGAAGCCAGGCCATGCTACATCTGGACCCGGCAGTCCGTACCAACCAGCAAGGCACACCATCGTCTACGCTCGCACACGTGTAATCATATCACACGTGCTACTGTAACACAAAAGGAAAGATTAAAAATATTCAGTAAGAACTTTTTTTTAAATGCAGCAATACACCCGAGAACACCATTCGCCTTTCTAGGGCACCAAATACTGAGCTGCGGCTACACGACAACCTCTGGTATGGTCCGATCCTCATGTAAACTTAAATACTCTCTTCAATGTCAGAACTAATTTGCTCTACTTAACTTTCATCGGTTATACTTTGGTTTTCTAGCACTTTCGCAACCAATTAAAGAGTTAACCTTAAGATAAATTTACTTTCCTCATGTATCAAATGGTGATCGATAGCAGCGGCAATTAACGTGGTCGCGGCGTCATAAGCCGACAGTATACTTCCAATCAAGAGCGAGCGCCACAGCACCACGCGTTCCACTAAACCCTCAACATCAAATCCCAATTTTATCGACTACGTAATACTCGCAGTAAGCTGTAACACTTATCAACACATTAGAACACAGAAATACAACTTAGTGTTTTTAATTAATAGCACGTTATCGTTAAACATTTTTCGGTACATCGTTTAAACATTTTAAACTTTAAAATTAGCCCATGTAAATCACACCTCGTGTATCAAATTATAACACAACTCGAGTAAGTTAAATTTCCACTAAATGCAAACTATAACTCATTTAGAATACCTCCAACATTTCTTTCGACAAATGTTATCATATTTGGGTACGTTAAGAAATAATGAAAGTATTTGCGGGTACTTTTTATTACAAATCGAACAAAAAGATTTAACTTTTGGCTTAAAGCATTTCACTTTAAACTTTTACTCTATACTTTAATGATTCGTCAGTGTCGTAAATACGACAACAAACTTGATTTAAGAAATTAAACACAAAAACAAAACGCGAGGCGTATCATAGCATTTCACCAACGTAATAACCCTCACACTATTCTAAGTTTATAGGTGGGCAATAACAGGGACTTTATCCCACTTCTGATATCGGAAATGACAACAGGAGATCCCACTTCTGATCTCTGAGAATTACTACAGGGGATTCCAATTTTGATCTTGGAAATACATCAGGATAGCGTTAATTGTTAAAAATAATAAAAGTGTGAGAGCGGATGTTCAACTTGCTCTCTTGCTTACGCAGTTTAATCATTATCAGTAATAAGACAACGTAACGCACTATACATTCAGTATAGTGAAATTACAGTTCGACCACACCGTAACACGTCTCAGCCACAATCACACACCAGTGTAACGTGAGGTACGTAATTACATGATAACACCAAAATATGTAAACCAACAGTAACACTACTTATCTCAATGTAACACTGGACAGCATCTCAGCAACACCAATCCTCCTTGTCTGCACTAGAAGAATTACAACAACGAACAGAACCACGACACTATCTTAGCTCTAGTAGAGTGACCACACTCGTTGAATGACTTGAGCGGAATCTCTCGCGCACGGCACCTACAGTGAACTTTATACTACCGACACAAGAGGGGGTTTCTCGATATACCCTCCATTCTACCTCGATCCAACCGGGTATTTTATAGACACTCCGACATATAAATAATTCTTCTGATTCGGGTTTAAAGAGCTTTTATGTACGATTTAAGTTTCAGATTTTTATAAAAAAGTACACATATATATGTTATAAAGTAATCTTCGTTAATTTACGACATTCGTGTATTGGTATCGAAAACAACCTAAAATCGTCAAGATTCTATTCCTGAGATGGATAAACTATCAACATATTTAAGTTCGGAACCCTCAGAGCGTGATTCCTAATCGATCTTGTCTGGTTTCTTCAATTACTGACACTAGGCGGTATTTTAACATAAGACTTACGCGGTTCAGTAAATTAACGATGCAAAAATATTTCAAATTAAAAAAATGTCAATCTACTTACCAAATATCATACCAAAATTACAAATAAATAACAACTAGCTGAGCTGAGCTCATAACACTTGATTTGGAATTATTACTTCTATATTAATAAAATGCTAGCTTCAACAGACTTCATCCTGTTCGATATGGCTTACATCTATATCTATACAAATAAATGAAATTGTAGTGTCTGTTTGTAATTTTAAAATAATAGCTTTTTACTAAATGCATATGAAAGTATATACGGAACTAATAATAAAAAAAAACAATTTTTAAAATTTTTGTCTGTCTGTCTGTTTGTTCTGCCTAATCTCCGAAACGGCTGGACCGACTTTGACTGAACTTTCACTTAAAGATAGCTGATGTTATAAGGAGTAACTTAGGATACTTTTATTTTAGAAAAAGAATTAGGGTTCCGCGCAAAAAAATTAAAACCCATGAAATCGTAGTAAATTCCACGCGGGCGAAGTCGCGGAGGACAGCTAGTCTAATCATAAACTCAATCAGTAATAAATAAATGGAAATAAAAAAACTACTACAGAATTATATATATATACTCCATAAATTTATTTCACCTAACCTTTTAATCTACATACGAGTATCATTGACTATGCCGGAAGGTCATAACCTAAATGCTTCACAAATATAATCCAATAAATTAATTGTAATACAATTTCCTAATTTACATATCAGGTGGTTGTATCGATGGTTTTTATGTATTTTGAATAAAAAATATAAAAAATTAATTGGTAAACAAAATTTGACCTGAAAACACCAAAGTGAAACGCTTTTAAAAAGTAAAACAAAAAACAAAGTATTGTTTACAGACGTTGCAGTTGACCTCACCCGCTTACATTTCATACGTATTTATTTACCACCAACAAAGATGTTTTACGCCCATTTTGTTTTATGTTTTTTTTTATACGATATGGGTGACAAACGAGCACTCAGTCCACCTGATGGTAATTGGTTGCTGCGGCCCATAGACATCTACATCTATCCTCGATTTCGAATCAAAATGCAGATGCGTTGTCACCCGTGAGGACTAAGATGGAATGCCTCTTTTCCAGTAAAAATGGTCTCCGGTTTTCTACACTCACCATACGAAATACAGCAGCGTTAAGCTGCTATTTTACGCTGGTATTCTGTGAGAGCGTGGTCCTTCCCCGGTCGAGCCGACCCATTCGTGCTACAACTATACTACTAATATAGCTGCAGCATGGCTCTACCAATAAATTAAATCAAAAACTTTCATTTATTATAGATGCGGTTGCTAGATATCAATCACATAGCAGTTATTACAATTCGTGATTCATTTTTGGAAGATGAAGAAACGATTTTATCCGATTTAGAAAAATCACTTGGGTATGAAGTAAAAGCATTACGAGCGATGGTAATTCCTATGGCCTCTGGAACGGAGAAACATAGTTTTAAAAACAGTCGAGAGAATTCAACCACTACCGGAGCACTACTTCAACTTTTTGTTTACGGATTGAATAACCGAGAACCGATAGAAGTCAAGCGGCTCACTTCGTAAGTTGATTTTTAAATACTAATACCACTAAGTTTTAGTACATAAAGGATATTTTCTAACAAATATTGTCGGTTACCTGTTTCAGTGACATAAATAATAATATTCTAGCTAACGTAGCTAGCACAGTATCACTAGAAGATCATCTAGAAAGTCGTGAGATATGCTCCATTCAAGAACGTGATACGGGCTTGTTAGCAGCTACAATAGCACTCAGTATCCTGCTTTTCATCCTAATTATGGCGTTAGCATTACGGCTTTTCCTAAAATGGTAAGATGACCGAAGTTATTTTTTTTTTATTTTTTTGTTATCTTAACCCAAGGCACCCAACAATCATTTGCATCTGAGGTCATCCTTACCGTATTTGACAACAGCGAGCATTCACACACATCCACACTCAAGTACATGCATACTTTACTTAAGGCGTTAATTAAAATTAGATTAAACTAAATATGGATTTAAGGTCGTAATATTATAAGTTGTAGAAGTATGACGCCTCCCGGCACAGTTATTTATATGATTTAAAAGGAGACTCCAGCCATTACCATAAATAATGTTAGTCTATATAAATAAAAAAAGAAATGGCGGACTATGCTAATATAATAATTATGATAGAATTGATAGAATACTCTTTACCGCATCAGAAATATTTCTGTACAAATGCGAGTTTAATACCATAATGGCATTCTCGGCCAGCTAACCTTTGGTATATTGGTGAGAGGTTTTTGGATAGAGCAGCGATAAAACATTTTAAATTATATATATTATATTTGAAATTGTTTAGTTTATTGGACGAATATACACATATGCATACACGTATAAATACCGAATACCAATATACATAGTAGCTCCAAATAATGCCACGTCTTTACATCTGAACAGAATAACACTTCTCTAAGCCGCGTAAATGATTATTCTTCAGTATTATAAATGAATCAGTAAAGGAATTCTAAAAGTATTTTACACTAATATTATCATATTTTGAAAATCATTAACTATAATGCAAGCCTTACTCCATTCTGATATATTTTTTATATTTAGTATATAATATAAATAATCAGATAAATAATCAAGTACATATGCAAGTAAATAGTTAAGTATATAATCATAGGGAAAAGCAAGTAAATATTCAATTAAATAATCAAGTAAATAGACAAGTAAATTGGCAATGAAATAAGCAAGTTAAAAGTAAAAACAATTATCAAGTACATAATCAGACAAATTATCAACTAAATAGAAAAGTAAGTATGCTAGTAAATAGTCTAGTAAATAAGCATGTATATAGAAAAAGTAAAAATTAAATAAATAGACAAGTATATAAACAAGTAAATAACAAAGAAAATAAGGAGATGCATTTACAAGTAGATAGTTCAGTTTATAATCAAGTAAATATTTAATTAAAAAATCAAGTATATAAGCAGGTAAATAGTCAAGTAATTTTAAGTATATAATCATGTAAATGAACAAGTAAATAGTGAATTAAAAATCAAGTACATAGCACGCAAAAAGTTGAGTATATAAATAAATTACGAGTATATAAACATGTTAATAGCCAAGTACATAATCACGTTATTAAGAAAGTATACAGAGTCATTTTACAAAGAGTAGCCAAATTTTAAATTTAAGTTCAAATATATAAATAATGATATACCGTTATTGCAGTTTTTGAAAATACGAGTAAATAAAGTTTTTACTTTTATTTGAAATTATCCCAAATTGAATGTGATTTATGGGCAACAACGTTGTTGCCTACCGATCGACCCTTACGAGTGTGTACGTGCGCAGTAAAATCAAAAATAATAATTAAAAATTAAAAATGTTATATAACTGACTTCAATATAAATTATTAAGAATATCTCAAAAACTATTTATCATATCTTGTTCAAATTTATATAAGACCACATGAGAAGTACCAGCTTTTAAATAAAAAAAGAATCATCGAAATCGGTTCACCCAGAAAAAAGTTATGAGGTAACAACACACATAAAAAACATGTAGTCGAATTGAGTACATTCTCCTTTTTGAAGTCGGTAGAAAAGTGACAGAACGTTTGAAATTTTTGTTAATTAATTATTCTTCACCATTTACCCACATACATATACGAGTATTACTTATTTTGAACCTTCACTGGAAATTTATCCGGTTATAGCAAAATAATCCTGCATAGTCATGTAAATGTTCGGGTATATAAGCAAGAAATTGTAAAGTAAATAAACAAGTAACATAAGCAATTAAATTGACAAATAAATATGGAAATAAATCGTGAACTGCACAATCAAATACAAAAATAATTAAATATTAAATAAATAGTTGACTATATAATCAAGTAAATAAAAAGTAAATAGGCAACAATATAGGCAAATAAATGGTCATTTAAATAATCAATTATACTATAAGCTAGTATATATTTAAATAAATAGTTAGGTAATTATAATAAGTATATATTGGTCAGTAATAATAATCAAGTAACTAAAGAAGTAACGAGGCAAGTTAATATGCAAGTAAATAGCCAAGTTAATATTTAAGTATATAACAAAGAAAATAAGAAAATAAATATATAAGTTAATAAGTAAGTCAGTAAGCGATTACATAAGCATGCAAATTGCAAATAAATAAACAAGTAAATGATCAAGTAAATATAAAAATAATTAAAAAATAAAATTGTCAAGTTACTAGTTAATTAATGATGTTAAAATCAATAGCTAAGATCTAATAAAATAAACAGATGTCTTACCTAGTTTCAAAAGCACCATCCGCCCTCCTACTTTACCAATTACTTTACTTTGTGAAAATCCGTCATATTAATTATTGATTTCCGCAAAGTAACGCCTGATTCTATTAATCAAATAGGTTTTGAATTATCAAGTACATAAGTAAATAAATAATCAAGTAAATAACAAAGTAAATTGTCAAGAAAATAGTCAAGTAAACAAGTAAAAATATAATCAAGTACATAGACAAGTTCGTGGTCTAGTAAATTAACAAGCAGGTTGGCAATAAATAGCAAGTAAGTAAGCAAAATTATAGGATAGAAAATTGTCCAGTACTAGTAATAAGCTAGTAAATAGTCGGATATACATATTCATGTAAATAAATAGGTAAATAACTCAAATAAATAGTCAAGTATATATTTAACTAAATAAATAAGTAAATAAGGCAAGTATATAAATAAGTTATTTGTCACGTACTTAGTTATGTATATAATCAAGTAAGTAAACAATTAAATAGAAAAGAAAATATGCTAGTAAACTCTCAAGTAATAGTCAAGATAATAATCAATTAAATACTTAAGCAAGTAAATAGTCAGGTATATATTACAGTATATTATCAAGTAAATAAGCAGGTAATAGGCAAGTAAATAAGCAAGTAAATAAACAAGTAAATAGGCAAATGTATAAGCGTCATCTGTTATCGTGAACCACTCCTAGTACAAGCAGTTGCAGTAGCTTAGTTGAATTAGTTAACGGGAGTGTTAGAAATGTTAATAGCATTGCTAGTTTTTTTTTTCAAAAATATATACACAGACACTTAATACACGAAATAAAAGAGTTCGCCTGTATCGTTTATGCTCAGTAGGTGGACTGATGGTCGTTTCATATCTTTGACGCTACTTCCCGTGTGTATATTTGTTGTTTAGCGAAAACGAGATGGTTACACCGCTGACTGTCGAAAGTTTTAATGTATATTAGGCATAAGTCGCCTTTTACGACATCCACAAAACTAAAAGAAGTGATAAATTCTCTTACACCGTTACCACACGGAAAGGAAAACCAATAATTTTCCACAAATATTGATTTGCACTTTTACTTATGTGCATGTGTAACTTGAACGCTGAACCATGTACAGTTATAGCTAAGCGATTTTGCATCTGTTTATAGGAGAAAGAATGAAAACTTCAGTGATGAAAATAGCCTGGTATCGAGAGACCAATCTTTTCAAGAACCACCTAAAGACAATGAACCTGTTAAGCCTAGACTTGATTTGGACGAACTCAAAAGGAGTGAAAAAAGACTTCAAGAAATTCTCGATGTCCCAGTTGAGCAACCTAATCGTGAACCTACTCTACAAAAAGAGGTTCCACTCGAAGCAATTATTAACCTGTCATTGCCCGAGCCACGTATGCCTATCGTTATACAGTCTATTGACAAATTAAAAGACGCCGCAGAAGTATCAGATGATGAAGATGAATTTGGCGAAGACAAGAAAAGACGAAGAAAATCAGTCGTTACGTTCAATGAAAATGTAGAAAAAATAATACACCTTGAAGATAGTCCAAGTGAGACAGATTATGAAGTTTATCGATTCTAACATAAGTAAAACATTATATATTTTTAAAATTTTGAATTAAAACAAATATTTCCAACACAACAACTACAGTTGACACTTTTACCTTTATAATATCGATGTGTTCTTTAACTTATAATTTCGTTTTCAAAACTTAAATATGCTCAAGCCCACATGGACATATTAGAAGGCATTGTACTCTTTATGGCCGACCCTAAGATATAATCAGACATCCATAAAAATGCTTTACCTACTCGTAAGTCGAGTAGGTAAAGCATTTTTCGAAGAGCCGTGGTAGCTCAGTTGGTTAGCGCTCGCTGTAAATTTCACAGTACGCGAGCAACCCGGGTTTGATCCCCACCGACACCAATGAAATTATTAATTGCAATTTTAAGTGCTGATTTACCACGTGCTGGGCGGTAAAGAAGAACATCGTGAGATGTGAGAACAATGCATGTCTGAGAAGTAAGAAAAAAAATTCGAAGACGTTAAGTTTGCCAACACGCATTGGGGCAGCGTGGCGGACATTTCATTTCTTTTTTTTTCGTTTTAAAAACGTTACCACCACACTAGGATTTTCTCCTGTATCGTGGAGGCAGTTTACAAACACAAATTGCACGAGGACAAACATCCAGACCCGGAACAATGATTTGTAGGCAATACAAATACTTGTTCCGCGAAGGATTCAAACCCGCGGCCCTCAACGCAACAACTCATTGCTAAGCCACTGCGCCACGGAGCCATCAAATTTCCTTGCCCTAAAACCCTCTCAAGCCTGTACCGAGCAGTGGGACCTATATAGGCTGTAACTTTAACTCGTAAGTTGAAGTAGATATCTACCGTATAAATTTCATTTTACGCACTGAAAATATAATTTTAGCTTGTGCATTTTTTTTAATTTTATACATCGTAATTTCATTTGGTATAGTAGGATTCGTCTGGGTACCAAGGGTAACAAGCCAGCGCGGCAACTATAGCAAATAGTGGCCTTATGTTCAGCAGTGGACTTATTATAAGCTTTTACGTTAACGGTAATATACAAATTACCTTAAGTGTAGTACGTGGAAACTTGAACTTTCCTTAAGCCGACTAGTCACAACCTCACAAATTAGATTAAACTTGTAACATTATTATCTTTATAATCACATATTTATCGATATTTGAGTACCTACTTTTAACACCATTATTTATGGGCTGTAGAAATAATGATACCATATCACATCAGTTACAATACTAATTACTTAATCTAATTAAAACAAATTATATCTTTGTTGCCAATTAAATACTCCTATACTTATGTAAAAATTTACATAAATCATAATATAACAAGAAAAACTCCTACTAGAAAATTTAATTCCGTTAAGTGTCAAGGTGAGGTTACGTCTCAAGTTGATCTTACACAGTTGATATAATAATATATGCGTCATTGATTTTCATTCCACTGGATGTTTGTCCGTTTCGCTTACAAATAAAATAGAGTTTTTAAAACTGACAAGTTCCTGAGTATACAATCTGAAGCGCCGGACACAAATCCATCCATATCTTTACCTTCACCATCACACCATAGTTTATATAGCATTATTAGTGCTATATAAGCTATGGTAGCGAGAACCTTACTATTGATATATATATATAAACTCTACACTCACTTACATGCTTGACCATCAATGTTGGTATGGGCAACTTTCAACTGGCGCATGCTAGTTGGTGCATTCATAAAAAGGCCTACATCAAGCAGATGAATTGAAAGCTACTTAAAAAATAAAGTTTAAACTTCCGATTTTATCTTGGTGTAAATCTATTCCATCTTTATCATCAAAACTGGAAATTGAAACTTATAAATATTTGAAATAAGAATGCTATATCACTAGCACTGGGCTGAAGAATAGAAGAGATAAATGCAAATTATTTATTCAAATAAATTTGATATGAGCAACATTTTAGCGACCCGACCTAGCTTTCCCGTAAAAGAAATAATAAAATGACTTAACTCGTTTTTACAGTTAGCTTTTCGGTCGAGCATTTTAATGTTATAGGTTTGATATTCATGGCGCGGGAGGAGAGTTAAGGCATGTTCGAATTCGCAGATCGAAGAGATTTAGATCACACCAGTTACGCCTCCGACAACTTTTTTGTTCGAGTTTAAACTACCATTGTATTTTGATCGATGGAGTACACCTGCTTATTAAAAATGAGTTATTCTTAAAGTAAATGCAACCAAATTACAAAAACAGTTTAGGCTAATATAAATAATTTAAAATAAATTTCAATGCAAATCTTTATATATAAAAATTACGTGTCACATTGTTTGTCCGCGATGAACTCCTAAACTACTAAACTGATTGCAATGAAATTTTGCACACTGTGTGCAGTTTGGTCTAACTTGAGAAATAGGATAGTTTTCATCCCTAAGTGACATCATAAGTGACCCTCTATATTTTTTATTAGGAATTTCAGAATTTTTATAGGACATAGGGTCGTCGGAGATGGCAGAACAATGCCTGCCTGGTCAGTTAGTAGATGTATAAATATAATGTAAATATTATACACATAGCTGCTTTAAGAAGGTAGTAGTTAATAACTAGTAAATGGACTCAACTATAAATTTCGTAATATGTGAGCAATCCGTGTTCGATCCCACTAACACCAATGTAAACGTTTTAATAATAATTTTAAGTGCTACTCCTTCTTGGTAATAGAAAACGTAATGAGAAAACCTACTTACTCGTCTGAAAAATTAAATTAATATTTCGAATGCATGTGAAATCCGCCAACACACATTTGGCAGTGCGGCGTACTCATTCATTCTAGGCTGGGAGCCCCCTCTCAATAATGAAAAGTGGCCTGTGCCCAACTGTGACAGTAAAACGTCAGCTGTGGCATGAATTTAGGCTGTAACTTTGCTTTTCTATATAACTGCTTCAAATGTGTTTAGTCTGTGATACAAATAAGTGAAAAATGCAGATGAATTGCAAAATTCTTTTCCTCCGGAACTGAATTTTAACAAACTTCAAAAAGGGATAAGTTCTCAATTCGACTGTACAATTTTTTTCTATTTTTTTTTAACAAAAAGGGTGATAAACGAGGGCACAGTTCACCTAATGGTAAGTGGATGCTGAGACCCATAGTCATCTACATCCATCTCAGTTTAAGAAACAAAATGAAGATGCTTTATATCACCCCTGAGGGCTAAGATGGAATGCCTCGTTTCTAGTAAAAAGGGTCTTCGGTTTTTTACACTCACTATACAGAGGAGCAATAAGCTGCTATTATACGTTGGTATTATGTGAGAGCGTAGTCCTTCCCAGGATGAGCCGACCCACTCGTGATACAACCTTAATAGTTGCAGCGTTGCTCTACCACTTGCACGTCTGTTTTTTTAGCGTTATCTTTGTAATCTTAAATATTAACCGTTGTTTGTTTATTATTTTCAGTTTTTTTTATATAATTAGGGAGACAAACGAGCACACAGTCCACCTGATGGTAAGTGGTAGCTGTGGCCCGTAGACATCTGCATCCATCTTCGTTTGCGAATTAAAATGCAGATGCGTTGTCAGCCGTGAGGACTAGGATAGAATGCCCCTTTTCCAGTAAAATAGGTCTTCGGTTCTCTACACTCACCATACGAAACACAGAAGAATTAAGCTGCTATTTTATGCTGCTATTCTGTGAGAGCGTGGTCCTTCCCCGGTCGAGCCGACCCATTCGTGCTACAACTATACTATTAATATAGCTGCAGCATGGCTCTACCACGTAAAAAAAGTTCTTTGAAGTTGGTTTTACTTTTTATTAAAAGATTTTAAGAAAATTTGGCGGCTCCATGGCGCAGTGGCTTAGCAATCAGTTTTTGCGCTGGGGGTCGCGGGTTCGAATCCCGCACGGCAGTATTTGTATGACCTACAAATAATTGTTCCGGTTCTGGATGTTTGACCTCGTGCAATTTATGTTTGTAAGCTGCCTCCACGATACAGGTGAAAATCCTAGTGAGGTATCGTTCTTAAAAAAAAAGTTTTATTTTCTCGTATTAGCCTATTCTCAACTCCTAATAGTACAAGAGTGAACTCCGTGTAGCACATGTGCTACAGCTGCCGTGTGGCGTACCATCTAGGAGTTGCTTGCTCCATTTGGGTTCGTACTACACTTACCGTATTAGGTATCTTATAAACTAAAGTTCTGTGTGGGTTCGAAACCCGTACAGAACAAGTATTTTTATAGCCTATAAATACCTAATTGTTCCGGGTCTGGATGTGTGTCCTAGTGAAATTTATGTATGTAAACTGCCCCCACGATACAGGAGAAAATCCTAGTGTTTAATGGTTTAAAATGAAAAAATATATGCACGCCCTTTCCATTACGTTATAGGAGATTTTAGAAATCTGTATCTCTACATAGCATAAAACAACGTCGTCGTCTGTACGCTTAGATCTTTTAAACTTTGCAACGAATTTTGATACGGTTTTCATCAATAGACATAATAAATCAAGAGGAAATTTTACATGTATATTATATATTGTATAATTCTTCTGTCCGTGTCTATGTGACTGAACTCCTCCTAAACGGCGGACCGATTTTGGTGAAATTTCTTATGTGTGATTAAGTTGATTAAAGAATGGTTTAGATTCACAATTGATCGAGATTCAGAAATCAACCATGCTAAGCCGGGGCGAATCGCTAGTTTTTAATGTATTTGACATGATCAATGTGAGAAAATCTACCAAAAATACAAGTAAGGTGAAGAAAACATAATACAAATACACTTCTTGAGTATTAATTTTAAGTATTCAAACAATTGTTCAAGCAATATTTACGACACAAAAAGATAAACTTAATAAAAATTCGTAGCCATCTTCAAAGAAGTAAATAAGAAGAATAAAATAATTTCCACATAAAAGCTTCTCAAGTGGTGCCAAGACATAGTGTTTAGAAAATGTAAGCCCCCATCTACATCCAAAGGAAAGTTTAATTTTCAAAACTCGTAATCACAACATACTAATAAAGTATGTAGACCTTCTTAAAAGTTTTAC